TTTTCTCTCGATCAAGCACGGAAATGTTTTACTGGACAAGAAGGAGAGGGGTACGGCACACTGTTGTACATTATATTCAGCATTCGACAAGGCAGCCTCTGTTGTACCTTGGGCAGCAAGCCAGGCTTCCCTACCTAATACGCTAATACAGCCACTAGTTGGTATAAAAAGGTACTTTGCTCATGTTTGGGCCGCATTGTCTCTTCTAGATTTGAACACACTCTCAGCCACAAAACGCATAAATGCTTAAAGTTCTTTGTGCTCGCTGTGTAAGACCGCAGGAGCCCTGGCCAGGATTCTCAGACCAATTGGCCTCTCACTTCAAAGGAGAAAGACCACTAGCTTCCTCCTCTGACAGGGAAAATGAAAACACTAAGTGACTTGAAGAACGCTCAAAGACACTTGTAGAAATTGGGAGCCTCTCTTAGGCTGGAAAGAACCGTTCTGCTTGTGTTTGTGAAGGGAAATTGAAATGTAAAGTCTGTCACCCACTGAGGCATTCCTCACCAGTTTGGCACGAGCTGCAGGGTCCTTCAGTGTCCACTTGTGAGGTGACTTTTTAGAAAGACTATGGTAAACAAACACAAGAGTACTGACAAACTCACATGCAAGCACAACAATGTCATAAATGTGCTGCAAAACAACACAGGATTTACTGGAAAAGTTGTTTTCTGTTCTGTTGAAAAAAGTTTAAAAACACTTCTAGGCATCTGTTACAACATCATTGAGAGATGAGGAAAAAAGCAGAATTTTGGGAAAGGATGTACCTCCTACATTCCGGGAATGCTCTCTCTGTCATTCTCTCTCTTTTTTCTACTTTTCCTGCTGTGAATGGGATTTAATACATTCCAGACTGTCATTGTAAAAATCATGAGCATTGTGGGGGAAATACATCTGGTGTCCATTTATAGATGATAGCCTGTTCTTGCTTACGCCACTCACATTGGAAGTGGTAAGAAAAAACTGGAGAAAGAAAACCAAAATTGCTCATCATAATTTTCTGTTCGTTCATTGTTCCTTGATTTACCATTTTCAAACCGCACTTAGAAACAGAAAACGTTCATGATCTTTGACATACATCTTGGGATCGTTTCATGAATTGTTCTGATTTGAATTGCAGTTTTCTGTCAGATTTGAGTGTTTAGATGTAATGCTCTCTTCACGATGAGCTGCCGCCCTCCCACACACACACTGACAGTGTAAACTTGGCACACGTCTGTGTCTCACCGGCTCTTGGAATGTAAGTATCAGCATTCTGGGAAAAGCTAAATACTCAGTGAGAAGAACACATTGCAGCTCCAATGGGCTAAATGCGAGCACGACTCATTTTTATTTGAGTCTTAAAGAGCACCACCGCAAAGGCATTTACTATAAATAAATCTTGTTTTATTTATTTATTTATTTTAAACATTCTTTATTTTTCTGCATTTGTACTTCTCTAGGATTCTGTACTACTCTAGCTTACTCTTGAAATTGACATTGGCACTATGAGCTTGTGTAACTTTTTGTAATGTTACTCATTTGTAGGCAGCTTTGCATATAGGAGCATCAGCTAAATGACTCAAAGATTACAGATACTGATTACAGCAGAAACATGAAATAACTTCATAAGAAGAAAAGACTCGCTAAAAAAACTTAGCTTTGGAACATGGATAAACATCAATATACGAGTTTACATGTTCAGTGATAAGAGATTGGGATAAGGCAATGGGAATCCTATGTGAAGGAAATGTCTTTGAGGTTTTACTTCATTCTTAACCACCCAAACATTTGGTGTAATACAGTTCAGCAACAAAGACACGCCAGTGTCGGACCGTTCGACACACTTACAATTGACTGGATTCTTCCTCTCATAAATGCAAGAGCCTCAGAGCCTCAGAGCCAGTGAATGTGGCCTTTATTTGGCAAACCCCAACCCATTGAAGGGGTTCCTGTAAAATATGAGGTAACGTCATTTGACCACTGAACTCGGGGAGCCTTGGATGAATGGCTTGCAGTGGCCTTAGAGGAGTCGAGGCACATTTCAGGGCGGAAGATCATCACCCCCTACTTCACTATAAATAAAAAATTCCACAACCCCTTTCAATTATCCATCCACACTTCCTTTCTGAATCTATTTTTTAGATATACTATCCAGAGAAAAACACCTTCATATGTCTGGCATTATTTAAAAAGTCAAATAGTAAAACAAGCTCTGGGCGTTCAGCCCTGTTATGGACCCATCACTATGGTAACTAAGCTTCATATTGGCCCAAATAAAGACTGCCGTAAGCAGGGGTTTAGAAGATGTTTAGCTTTAGAGTTTGAATGCACGTCTGGCGTGGATTAAACCTGGTTTGTTTACAAGAGCTTTTTTATTTTGCTATGTTTATGTTAACGCTAATAGAATGGCACGATATATCTCAGGACTGGTGTCGTCTTTTCTCAACACATCACTGCTAATCTGACCATTGATTGACAGTTTAGTTGAGATGGATCACCCATATAGTTATTTTAGATAAGTGACTTATCTAGACCTTTGCCTTATTTTGGCTCGAAGCAGAAATAGAGAGTTTTACGCTCAACAACAATTGTGGAGAAAAAATCTTTTTAAAATGCCTTTTTCCTTTGCAAAGATTTTAAATATGTGACTCTTTTCACATGTTTGATGAGTCGGCAGAAAAAAAGGGAAATGAGAGGGACAGAAGGAGGGACTGTCTGTCATTGCAAGGGCAATGAGACAACCACTCATATCCTTTTCACCTTTCTCTTTCCTGTGTCACAGTTCATCTGTTGGCAACATTGTTGTGTTAATGTGCAATATGAGCATTTTTATGTTTGAGCTATATGATACATACTGTAGTACACCACGGTTTATTAAATATTTCCTCTCAATGTTCACATTTAGCCATATGTATTTTATTAGAGTCAGATTACAAAACAACTTAATTCCGCTTCTGACTTACACAGGAACACAAGCATTACTTTTCGGTGTTGTACTGTACATGTTGTTCATTCATACACTGACGTCAGGGAACAAAAAACATTGCCTTCAGCAGCAGCAGTGCTCTCCTTAGGGCCACATCTTACCAGTTTCCTGGCCTGAGGTTCTTCATGAGAGGGAGTAAAAAAAATAACAAGAAACTAAAATATTGTAAAAAAAAAAAAAAATAATAATAAAATATATAGAATAAACAACTCTACATATAGATTAGATTAATCTACATGTCTCACGGTTAATAACATTGTTTTCAACAGGATCCTATTTTAAAACAAGGGCAATGTTCTCTCAAACAATGCAAACCCTGCTCTAAAAATACTGTCCATTTAACTGTCAATCAACTGGAGCACTGAGAAAACAACTCCCTTGCTTTCCTTCTTTCTCCCTCACAATCACTCATTTTCTGTTGCGCCCTCCTCTGTTAAAGACATATATTGGCACATTGCTAATTTTTCTCTACAGGTTGGCTTTGCTATCTCCCCACTAACCATCATAGATTAAACAAGGGTAACAATCCCATAAAAGGAGGTACAGCCAGAAGCACTATGCGCTGTTACACTACGTGAACTCACTCGAGGCCCACAGAGAAGGAAATTAATAGTTGAATAAAGTAGTTATTTTTTTTATTTATTTTTTGCACACAAAAAGTATTCTCGTCGCTTGATAAACTTGAGATTGAGCCACTGTAGTCACTTGGACTATTTTAACAAAGTCTTTAATAACTTTTCTGGGCCGGCAAGTTTCAATCCCTTAGAAGCCTATGGAGGAGGGATCCAGCTCTCAGATTTAATTTAAAATATCTTAATTTGTGTTCCAAAGATGAACGAAAGTCTTACGGGGTTAGAACAACATGAGGGTGAGTAATTACTGACAGAATTTTCATTTTGGGGTGAACTATCCCTTTAAGTTTTGTATAAATTACAAAGTATTGCTACTGACCTATAAGGTCCTAAACGGTTTAGCTCCTGTGTATTTAACCAATCTTCTGTCGCCCTACAATCCATCACACTCTAAGATCACAAAACTCTGGGCTTCTGGTAGTACCAGGATATCTAAGTCCGATAAAGGAGGGAGAGCAATTTCACATTTGGCTCCTAAACTCTGGAATAGCCTTCCTGATAATGTTCGGGGCTCAGATATACTCTCCCAGTTTAAATCTTTATATTACCTCGGAGATTAAAGATGCATCTCTTTAGCCTAGCATTGATTTAATGCATCTCCTAACCGTATACAATTATATCAGATCAAATGCACATTATTATATTTGCCTATGAACTGCAGCTACGCAAATTATTTTCCATTTGCTTTTCTGTTTTTTTTCTCGAGATGCTCATCCCGAGGTAACTAGAGAGTTACTCCAGCTCCAGTGTGAATCCAGCCTCTTATGAAGACTTCAGATGACCCATCAGTCACCTCAGATCAGATAACAGATCACTAAATTGTAATGCACACACTTTCTGTAAAGCTGCTTTGAACATATCTATTGTGAAACGTTATAAAAATAAACGTGAATTTAATTGATTATTATTAATTATTATTATTATATTCTAATCATTTCCAGTATTCTAATAATATTCTGATTCTGGGAGTATAAATAAAGTCTAAAACACACAGCACAAATTCATCTAGGAAGACAGTCCTTACAAAATTAAAGAAACAAAGAAAATTAAAGAAATTTAGATTTTCTCTGAAAATCTACAATATTACATATAAATGAACAAAATACTCAGTATATTACTTTTTAAGTAGGCTAATACACTTTTTAAGAAAGTTAATGAAGTTCAATAAAATAAACAATTTAAAGGTTACTGTGGAGAGTTGTTGACTGTACAACATGTACTACAGCTTGCTGAGGGTAAAGTATTGCATAATTTCTTTGACTGGAAACAGCATAGCGTGTTGTAATGTCCTACTGACAGTATGATTGTCACTACTAGCCTATGTCATCCGTTGGGGGGGGGGGGAGATGTGCACAGGCTAGCGAAATGCAAGGAATCAGTGCGCACAATAAAAACAGCCAGTGAGAGCGCATTCGAAACATTTGGATGACACGATCATGTGCTGTGTGATGCTGCTGTAGACGCAGTGAATTTGAGGAGAACCGCCGTCTGGTCTTCAGAGGGTTAAATTTCCCTTTGAGGGGGAGTTACTGAATCTGCAGCAACATCAGAGCGCATTCCACAGAGCTGCCAACATCCCGGGAATAAGACCTTCACCGTCAACATCTCAGAGCCACATCCCGGGAATATACCGCAGTACCGGACACGCGTCGTCTCTTTTGTCAAGCCGCGTTTTCTCTGCTGGTTCGGAGTATGCGAGCTCCAGGATCCGCTCAATGTCTTAATCTAGGTGAGCATATAACGGTGTCCTTAAATGAATTAGTAGCCTAATGTGTAAGAAAACCTGGTGATTTTTGCCAGCTTTCGATATGGACCTCGTGCTTTAAACACACGAGTAAACGGGAGAAAAAATAAGTCGGGGTTTTATTTTTAATATTTATTTATATATTTAATATGTTCTGTTTCCATTCACTGCAGCATGAGCTTTGTTACTGTCTAAAATCATCTTACTGTATTTCGCAATGCCGTCTTATGGGCTATATTTAAAGAATTAACACCAAACACTGAAAACATTATTATCACAGTATCTAACACATTATCACAGCGCTACTGCTTTAGCACAGACCAGATAAATGTGACATTGTAACGCGTTTAAATAAGGTGTTGCATGTTTATTTTACCGTTAAGTCGTCGATACATTCATGAATAATCAAACATTTACAGGTCTTACAAAAATGTGAAATATATCTCTCATTATATTGTCCTTATCAAATATATCCCAGATCTTTTTCTGTTTGCTAATAGAACCTGTTGATTTTAAATGATTCCCTTTAAAAAGAAATATGTGAAAATAGGTTGATATGACATTGATGTTGGCTGCTGGTCTGACCTAAATTCACAAATGTTTGCATTTACCAACAGTGACCACATCCGTTATCAAACAGCTTCATATTGACGCCAAACTCAAAGGCATTTATCCGGTGTTACCTAGATCTAACATGACATAAAGTGATACATGCAACAGCATAATCAGTATTTTCTAAGGATTGCATATACATTTGAAGACACCTAGGACTACCCAGAGCTCCTTGTCTTAAAGTTCTAAGACATTTCTAAGACTGTACAATGTAAAATCATTTAGATGAGATTTTGTATTTCTGAAACTTCACTTTTTAGACTTCCCAGCAGAATCACAGGCCTGATTTTAATAAGGGCCCCATATATGTTATGACCTTAAATAGTGCTTATTAGTTGCTAACAAGATGTTGGATTTCTGTGCTGTTTTGAGCGGCACAAGGTTTGGTGACTCAGTTTACGTTTGGTTGCAGCTATGATCTCAGTTAAAGGGAATGTATGTCAATAAGTCCTGGTTGATCTTAATGGCTGGGACTTGGAAAAGCTAAGCATTGAAGCGTGAGTGGCATTACAGTAAGAGTAATGAGAGGACAAGATCATTTTCAGTATAACTTTAACTGTACTCGGTCATCGTGATTTTGCCAAGTAAGACATGTTCCTGGATCAGCATATTTTCTTGATCCTGGAACAACATTCTTGTCCAAAAATGTAGTCCTAACCCTATCCCTGCCCTTAAACCAAAACCAAGCCATAACTTATCCCTAAAATCAGAGGGGAATAATATGTGAATGACACTGATGTAGAAGCACCTAACCCTGGTTGTAAGCCTAAGCTTGACATAAACTGTAAACTTGTCCCTCAATCTGATTGGTAGATTGGAATGTTCCAGGATCAACAAAGATGTTGATCCAGGAAAATGTTGTACTGAAATCCCTGTATGCCATTTTCATCCCCTTTTGCTTCACCATCCCCCATAGTATACTTTTGGAGGAGGAAATACCACAGTAAATATGTTCCTCTTCCTCTTACAAAGCTGGAAATGTCGAGGGAAAATGTAACCCTTTTTTAGTGAGCTCACTTTCATGTAGTAAAAAATAAAAACCTATTTGAAACATTGAAGGAAAATGTCTTTGTTCCTCACATTGGACATGGACAGATGCTTTCAATCATATTGAAAACAGCAAATGTGTTTTTACTCAAGTTTGTGTAAATGACTTTACCACGGACAAGGAGCCAACACTGTGTTTAACTGTTTTAAAATGTGAATTACCATTTAAAAATGATGCTGGGTATGACTCACGTCAAGACATTCTTCTTTCTCCTGTTGGTACAATGTGTGCTGTTTTATTGGAACCAGATGTTGGCACTCAGCGTAGTTTCTCTTCTGTCTCTCATTCTGAACTCTTCAAATGCTGTCCAGCACCTTTCCTCCTCCCTCTCTCTTCATAAAAAGACCAACATATTTCAGTGGAGAATGTAGTCCAAAAAAGAGAGAAACAAAGGCAACTCTCCATCACTTTGGACCTTTATGAGACTCTTCTCCACTAACTCTGCTGTCTTTTCTTGCCTCTGTGACTTTTTATTAGACAAAAGGGACTGTTATTGTATTTCATTGTAGACATATATAGGTCAGTAGAGAAGTCATGGCTGCTCTTTTATGTGTAGAATGGTATTTCACTGTGTTGGCCACATGCTGAGGTTAGTGACCTTTGCCCCAAGTGTTTGTACTGCACTTTCCCCCCTCCTAAAAAAGGAATGAAATTGGAATTTTTTCTTTATACCAGTAAAGAAAGAAAATGTGTTTTAGGGCCACATGTGGAAGCCTTTGCCTTTCAACATTATCTGCTAGGATAACACTTGACCTCCACACACTTAAAGGGACAGTTCTCCTGAAATCGGAAATTCTGTTATCATTTACTTACCCTGATGTTGTTCCAAACCAGCATGACTTTCTTCTATGGAACACATCTTTCCTGGATAGGATTTTCAAATGCTCATACCTTTTTAATCAGAGTCTCTGATAAATCCGGTGCACATTTCTGCATGGAAGGCACGTGAGTCAACATTTATACTGACACTGTCCAGGCTTTGACCCATGACAGGATAAACACTCTTGCCCATCTTGTTCAGGACAGAAACTTTTGAAATCATTAGGTCATTGTGCTGCAGAACCATTAAGACATTTAGCCTTTACTGAAGCGCTCCATTTTGGGCTTTTCTAGAAACCACTATTTACAGCACAAATGACATAATTTAATCCTCGTTAAGAGTATTGTGTCCAAGGTTTGTGTATAAAACAGGTATTTAGTCTGTTCATTTAGTAGGTCTTGAGCAATCTCGTGGCTTACTGCACTGTTTGTCCTCATTTCATTCCCTTAAACTTAATTTCAGCAAAGGCTGGATCGAACAGCTTACAGTACATAATGGCCTCCTACAATTACTCTGTGAAAACTGGATTCACATTTGCTTAGTGTTCAATACAAAGTTTGTTGTGTCACTAGATGAACCCAGTTATGGTGTTATGGGTTAGGCCGTGTTTGTACACCAGACATTGTAATGCCCCTTTTGTTCCAGAACACATGAACGACCACACAAGCAGAGAGATAAAATTATGGTTTACTGTGCTTTTGATGTTTTTACTTTACCTCTGCTTAGACCTCATGCTGAGATGATTAATTATATAATCATTTCCTGTGAGGTAAGATTGCGTTATCTAAATATCATTGGATAGGCCTAACACTTTTAACAGTGGGTTTGGTCCTCTTTTGATAAAAGGAAGGATTCAGATGTTAAATCTGAATTTTCAGCATCATTACTCCAGTATTCAGTGTCACATGATCCTTCAGAAATCATTCAAATATGATGATTTGGTGCTCAAGAAACATTTATCTTACTATCTTTGTTGAAGTGATACATATCTTTTTCAGGATTCTTTGATGAATGGAAAGTTCAAAAGAACAGTATTTATTTTACATAGAAAACTTTTATAACTTTATAAATGTCTTTACTGTCATTTTGGTCAACTTGCTTTGAATTTTTGATGTAATTGTTTCTTCTTTTTGAAAAGCGAGTTGTAGTTTCTTCTTCTGAGGCTGTGTACTGTGTCTCTTGCCCTCATTTTGTTTGATTATGTGTCTTGGATGATGGATTGTGTGTTTGCCAGCCTGTGAGTGCAGCACTATGAAAAGAGATGACCAGAACTTGTCATCGGTTGCCATAGAAACCATCACAATCCAAAGCCATAAGGGTCATACAATAATTGGCTAGCCACATGTTGTTTTTGAATTGCAAAATGTTACATGAATCAATATCATTATCACTTTAGGCTCCTTTTCTATGGCCAGCTTCTGCTCTGATCCCCATCCTCAGGCAGTTCATTATCCTCAGAAAGAGTCTTAAACGCAGAGGTGTTCTGGCCATTAAATGCATCGTTCAGTCCTGCTTGTGGCACGAGTACAATCAGGTCTTTGTTCCTGGTTCCCCTATGTGTTCCTTCTAGTTATCCAGTGTCCTGTTGACATCTGACAACACACCCCTGGAGATTTCGTCTGTCCAGTGTGTTTACCTCAGATTCTTGGCATTGAGCTGGGGAGGATGTGTCTTCTTGGCTTTCTTTTTTTTTTCATGTGGATATTTACACATACTCCATAGCTTATGTTAAGTGACAGCCTTGGGGCCAGGAATAGGGAAGAGGAAAGATGGTGTTTATATACCCGTTCTTAGTCCTCTCTGGCTGCTGGGCCAAGTACTGAAGACCCGCTGAGATGCCAGGCAGGAGAAAATGGAGACTAAGAGGGCTTCTCAGGCCAAGAAAGTGCAAATATTGATGTTTTCCATACTCTTTGACCGGGAAGCACTAAAGTCATGCGAGTAAGAGTGTGAAAAAAATCTTTGAAAGGTACAATACCCCATATATGGACAAATAACAGCAACTTACGCGTCAAATGGTGACCATATGGTTGGCCAGAATATACAGGTCACTGAGTTTAATTGGCCAGCAGAAGAGGATGAATTGTCTGTTTAGATGAAGCTGTCCATTTCAATACTTGATGACATGTAGTCATTGGAAAAACTATTTTTTTTTTTTTTTTTTGAATTTACACCACAGTTTATGGAGTGATATGGATAATGTGTTTTTTTGTGATTGAATTTGTCACATTTGTTTTTCAGATGTGTCAAATTCACTTTAGGAGGTTTTGCTTATGCAGGCCTCTTCCTACCATTAGTTAAACACCCCACTAGTGTGAGGTCTGTGGGATGTTATTTTGAACAACTAACTCCTGCAAATGTTTACAAAAAATTCACTCATGCTTCCTGTATTTCTGTACCTTGGACAAGTTCCAAAAATGTGCTCCAACTTTTACTTTTTAAAGCTTTTGTGCGGTTTATTAAAGCAATTAGACGCTGTACTTTCCAATGATTTTGTATATTATG